TTAACTTTCACACCATTCCTTTATTTTTCACATTCTGAATATCTGTACATGGATGGGGTTGTGTACAAAAGTCTCATGCTAGGCATAAAATCCAAACAGATAAAGATCCACTTGACTAACTAAAAGGGTCATAGGAAAAACTCCCCATTAACCAGTTTCATTTTTTGGAATGTGGTTATACAGAGATAATACTTCTGAGCTGGTGCAAGAAATAATTAGTTGGGTAGTTACTATGCAGACCACACTCGCTCGCTCGCTCACTCTTACTGTCTTTGCATTCACTCCTTAATGTCTGCTCCACTTAATTTGAAACCTGCACTATAGTCTTGAAAGATTAATACATAAATATTTATAATGAATTCACTTCCATGGCATATACATAAAAATCCTATAATTCTACTGAAATAAAGGTTCTATGAGTAGTAACTGAAAAAATGTGAATTATTTATAACAGTATTTACAACAGCTGATTGATAGAAAGGAGCCATGAAAGCCATTCACTGTGTCAGTCCAGAAAACAGTATAAAATACAATTCACTGTATTCCTGATATAAAACTTTACAAAATTACTTTCTCTTACAAAAAGAACACCACTGCTTTCTTCTAATACTACACAATAGTGCTTTTGGACATGAGATAATTAAGTAGTGCCCTATACTTAAGTTTCTATTTCACTTATTTACATACAGTCTATATTGGTCTGAAGGTCTTTGCACTTACAAAGATGAAAGCTGAAGCAACGTTGCCTCATCGTCTCCAAGGCAGGGCTGCACCAGACAAGTTGGGGTCAGGTGTGTCAAGCAGCCTCAAGCCAAGGAGTCAATCCCCAAGGTTACTCACTGTTGGGGCTGGCCCTGCTGAGGTGCTGGGGGGGGCTGCTGCCCAGGTTGTCCCCAGCCCTGCTGGCCCCAACCCATCCACATGTAGCTAGGATTAGGCTGGTAACCATATGGGTACTGGTTGTAACCCATCTGATTGTAAGGCATCTGCTGCGGGTAATATTGCCAATAGCCCATTTGTCCCATTTGGTTGGTGAATCCTTGGCCATTAGAGTAGTTTGTGAGGCTTGGTTGAGCCCCATTGGCCTCCTGAGCTGGGTTGGTGGCCTGGTCAGCCCCAGTATCCTTGCCCCAGGAGCACCTAATAATCTGTCCATTTAAGTTTGAATTATGTAATTCAACAATAGCCTGGCAAGCACTTTCTTTAGTTGTGTACTTTATAAAAGCATAACCTTTCTCTTTAAAAATCTTTATCTTTTCAATCTGGCCATGAGGCTGGAAGGATTTATGTAACATCTCTTCCGAAATATCTTGTTTCAACCCGCCACAGAAAACAGTGGTATTTGTTGGTGTCGTCTGGTTGTAAACTTCTTCATAATTTAACTTCTTCTGCTCAGGCTTATTTTCATTTGGAGTGTTGGCAGGTTTTCTTGTGGCCCAGCGTGTTTTGATCATTTTTCGGCCAAGCCACTGGCCATTCATTGCACTGATACTTGTCTCCGCATCCATCTTCTTCACAAACACAACAAAACCATAACCTCGGGACTTGAAGCTCTGGGGATCCTTAACCACCTTGCAGTCTGAAATTTCACCGAACACTTGGAAAGCTTCTCTAAGTGCTTGCTCATCTATTTCTGGGCTGAGATCTCCGACGTACACATGATGATGCCTACTGGTGTCTACCTTGGTGTACTTGTTCTTGTTTCCCTGGCCAGTTGCCCAATCAACTCGCATCTTTCGAGTCTGCAGCATCTTATCATTCATCATTGTAATTGCATTGAGTGCAGTCATGTGATCATTGAATTCTACAAAGCAATAGGGGTCAGTGGTGGGCTCGCGGAACATCTTGCAACTGCGGACCTCACCCAGCTGGCCAAACAGCATCATGATGAGCTCCTCGGTGACCGAACTGTCCAGGTTGCCCACGTACAACGTCCTGTTCTGCTCTGAGTGTGCCATGGTGCTGTCACCTGTGGAACCAACCACATCAGCAAGTCAGACACCCCAATACCAGCCTGTGTAACTCATCTCACCACAAACATTGCACCTACACCTTTAAATAAAGTGTGGCTGGCAGGGTGCTACTATTAGCTATAACAAACGCCAAAATGCTAGGAACTAGAACTACATTTGATTCTATCATTTAAAAAGTTTTAATTATTTCTGACAATCTGGGTGATCTTATATCATCAATAATTAATAAATTAATATCAATATCAATGCTAATGATAATCATTAAAACAATATTGTTATATATAGGCAGATATCTGAAATAGATCATGCAAGAAATTTAGTCCTAAATATCCTGTTAAGATCCTTTGAAAAATTACGTAAATGTGAATACTAACTGCACACATATATTACCATCTATTATTGTATTGAATAAATATAGAGAAACTCATATGATACAGGATACTAAGACCTAGAATATAGTAAATAATCTGAAGGTTTTGCTCCTACATTCCTACTAAACTAGTTACCTTTAATACTTTAGTTTTAAAATTCCTGAAATAGCATTTATGTAATTCAAATACACAGATAAATGGCAATAAATATCTGAGCACAAGAACTAGTCACTAAATAGCCCATAGGTGAAAAACAAAAGCTTTAGGGGACAAAACTGAAAACCATTGTCTCAGCGGTACTTTAGATTTATTAATTATAGTAAAAAAATAATAATAAAAATAACAGAAAAATATGTATATTTACATCTTGTCTGATTCTGTCTTTCACCCATGCACATAACTGATTATTCCTGATTCAGATGAATTTCTACATTTAAGATTAAAATAAGACAAGTTATATCATAGAAAAGAAAAGAAAACAAGAAAAATACAGCCATCCCTCCTGTACATATACACTTACTATCCCCATTCAGTCTCACATGCACCCAACATATATACCTAGAATTGTTTGACTGGTAAAAAAAAGTAGTTTTAAAGTATTCTTTTAATGCTAGACAGGGCCCCTTTGACAAGTTCTCAAGATTATAAATACTGAAATCATAAGTCAACAAAAGAAAATGTGAAATATATACACAAGCACAGAGTAACGTTAGTATCATTTAAGGATTAAACATTTACTCCTTAATTCAACTTGAACAGATCCCACGTGATTTAGATCTTGGCTTTAAACTGACCTTTTTTCCCTGTCCTCTTGATCAGATCCCTCACATTTTCCTCACCTACCTTTCTTTCACACTGCCAATTCTTTTCCCTCTTGCCCAATTCTTTCCCCCTTGTAATTACTGAATTTGGATTCCTCTTGCTTTCTCCTTTCTCACTCACTCTCTTCATCTTTACACAACCTCTTGCAACATAATAAATTTGAAATAAGAAAAAATTAAAA